GCAACCTATTGTTTAAGAGTGTACTTTTTAGTTTCCATGCATTTGCATAAATTCCCTGTTTTCTTTTTCATTGATTTCTACTTTTAGTTCACTATGATCTGATAATATACATGATATAGTTTCAATTTGTTTTACATTTGCTTAACTTTGTTTTATTGGCTACTATGTACTCTTAATTTAGAGAAAGTTCCATGTACTGCTGAGAAGGATGTGTATTCTATTGTTTGACTGAACACTCAGTATCTATTAAGAATCTGTTCAAAGGTTATATTCATCTCTGATATTTCTTTGTTGTTGTTTTTGGTCTGGTTGATCTGTCTATTCTTGATAGTGGGATACTGAGGTATCCCACTATAATTGTGTTTATGTTTACCTGGTCTTTTGTATCCAGTTTAATGAAGCTGGGTGCACCATAGTTTAGTGCATATATGTTAATAATTGTTATCTCCTCTTGTTGGATTAGTCCCTAAGCAATGTGTAGTGATCTTCTTTGCCTCTTTTGGTCAGTTTTTGTTTGAAGTTCACTGAGTCTGAATAAAGGATAGCCACGTCTACTTTTTTTCAAGTTCTTGCATGGAATATTGCTTTTCATTCTTTGATTTTTAGTTTTTGAGTTTCTGTTTTGGCTAAGTGTGTTTTTTATATATAGCAAACCACCAGATTTTGATTCTTGAACCATTCTGCCAGTCTATGTTTTTTGACTAAGGAATTGAAACCATTCACATCTAAAGTTATTACATATTGCTACTGAGTTATTTCTGTCATTGCCTTATGTAACTGTTGCTGATTCCCTATCTTTCTCTCCTAATTAACTGCCCACCCTATCTGGAGTATTAATTTTATTAGATATTTTGTAATTGTTAGCTTGATTTTCTCTTTCTAGGATATCCTTGAGGATTTTTTTGGAGTGTTGGTTTGGTGGTAATCAATTTTTTTAGGTGCTCTTTATCATGAAAATATCTTACTTCTCCATTAAATTTGAATGATAGTTTTGCAGAATATATCAGCCTGGATCGGCAATTTTCAGTTCTAAGCTTAGAACATTTCACTCCAACCTCTCCTGGCCTCTAAGATTTATGTTGAGAAGTTTTCTGTCATTCTAGTGGGTTTGTTCATTTGACTGTGATGTGGCATGGAGAGCTTCCTTTCTGCTCATGGCCATTTGGGGTTCTCTATGCCTCACTTATCTGTACATGAACTATTTTCTCTTATTTGGAAAGTTTTCTGCTATTGCTTCAGGAAATAGTTTTTTTTTTTATGTCATTCTTGCTGTCTTCTGATTTTTCTCTGATTCAAATTAATCTTAGATTAGTCTTTTTTGTTTAATGTAGCCATCTTTTTATTAGTGTCTTCTGTTAACTTGCTGATTATCCTGTTTATTTAGTCTAGTATCTGTTTATTTTTTTTCATTTTTTAAAGAGAAAAAAACAAAATAACAACAAAGAAGACAAAAACAAAATAATACAAAAACAATAGAAACAATACAGAAATGATAGGAATTAACAATGGTTGTTATATACTGTTATCTTCAGTGAAATTGCTCAGATTACCAGGTGTAAGAATGCAAGATTGATCAAACAATTAAAGACAATAAGAAGTAATAAAAATATTAGAAATGATGCAGGCCTTCACCAAGCAAGATAGTGGGAATTCAACCATGGTTGCTATATTGCATATTGTTGTCTTCAAATTTGTTATCTGTTTAATTATACCTTCTGTGAACTTGCCAAGTGCTTTATTGATCTGAGTTTTTTCTTTTTTTTCTTTTTATGCATTTTTATTTTAAATTAAGTTTATTGGTACAATTTAGATATACATGAAGATCATATTCATCATAGGATATTTGTACCTGTATACAATATATTTCGATTTCTCTTTTCCCAGAATCATTCCTTCTGTTCAATCCTTCTTCTCCTCCATATTTATGAAGCTTTGTTTCCATTTTATCCTTTTTTAAAAATCCTTTTTCCTTTTCCCTTCCTATCTTCTTCCCTTTACCTTCTCTAGTTCCTCTTTCCTTCTGAACAATTTCTTCCTATTTCACAATACCTATTGTACATTTTGTTCCTTACCTCCCTTTCAGTTTCTCACACCAGAAAGACAATGTGATATTTACACATGAGTGTAGAATTTGTTTCATTTAAGAATGTGGTCTCAAGGAGCATCCATTGGAATGGTTCAACATACACAAATCAATAAATGTAATACACCATATTAACAGAGTCAAGGACAAAATTGTGTGATAATTTCAATAGATGCAGAAAAAGCATTTGACAAAGTCCAACAACATTCATGATAAAAACACTACAGAAAATTGGACTAGATGGTCTTTACCACAATCTGATAAAAGACATCTATGAAAAACCAACTGCCAACCTCATACTAAGTGGT